TGCTTTGTGTCTTTTCTCTCTCTGTTTTTTGTTTTTGTTAACATCATATATAATATATATATAATATATATAATTTATATATTATAATTAATTGGAATTGAGTTTTGAGGGTTGGACATGATTATGATTATGAAAATCATTTTGAAAGATAATTATGTGTGATTTATTTACTTTGAAAAAAAAAAAAAAAATCCAGTGGGATTTGATGATGTCCCATAATTCTATTTATTAGTTTTTTTAGGAGAAAATCCTTTTTTTTTTTTTGGGCATAAAGAAAATACTATATCATCATTTATTTTCTCTATTATGAGACATTTCTTCTTTGTTTTTTGGTATATAATTAATTAATTAGGGTATTGAAGCCGAAAAAGAAGAAGCAAAAGAGGGAAAAAGAGCCAAGATTTGCTTTCATGACAAAGAGTGATGTCGATCACTTGGACGACGGCTATCGATGGCGAAAGTACGGCCAAAAGGCCGTCAAAAACAGCCCCTTTCCGAGGTAATATATAATACCTTCAACATTTTCACACAAAACACACATTTACTAAAATGTTCTTGTTCACCTTTATTGTACTAATTAGTTATCCTTTGATTTTGTAGGAGCTACTATCGGTGCACTAGCACACAATGTGGAGTGAAAAAGAGGGTGGAAAGATCCTGTGAGGACCCGTCCATCGTAGTCACCACCTACGAGGGCACGCACACACACACCTATCCCATCACGCCGCGTGGGGGCTTCCCGGGATTCTCTGCCTGTGACTCGTCGTCCCGTCTCGCGATGCCGCCACAAATGCTTCAGTATCGACTCAAAACACAACAACACTATTTGCCGAGCTTGAACATTAGTAATAAATCGTTTTCTTCTCCTCCTCCTCAGTCGGTTGGAGAAAGACGGATTTGCCCCTCGGCGTGCCCTTCTCAGATGAGAGACCAAGGCCTTCTTCAGGACATGCTGCCGTCCGAGATGTTGACGGAGCCCAAGGAGGAGTAGGGATGATCAAAACGGGCCGGGCTTGTTTGTTCGGATTATATATATCGATCCACGAATAATCAAATTGGCTAGTTTGTTTTAACTCTTTTTTTTTTTTTTCTTTTGTTTATTATATGTAG